GTTTTATATTAGTTCTACATAGTGAAAGTTGTGTTTTTTGTTTCACAAATTAGTGGCGGGCCTGCCAGAATTTATTTGGCAAATTTTTTACATTTATCTTATCAATAACTGAATCAGTGATGAATATTAATAAATAACTATGAATATAAATTAATAATGTTGTGTTTTATATTAGTTCGACAACGTTTTCAGGCTACTTTTTGCAATTGTTAAAAATCGTTCTTGAGGTTATGTTAGTGGCGGGTCTGCCAGAATTTATTTGGCAATTTTTTTACATTTATCTTATCAATAACTGAATTAGTGATGAATATTAATAAATAACTATGAATATAAAGTAATAATGTTGTGTTTTATATTAGTTCTACATAGTGAAAGTTGTGTTTTTTGTTTCACAAATTAGTGGCGGGCCTGCCAGAATTTATTTGGCAAATTTTTTATTTATCTTATCAATAACTGAATCAGTGATGAATATTAATAAATAACTATGAATATAAATTAATAATGTTGTGTTTTATATTAGTTCGACAACGTTTTCAGGCTACTTTTTGCAATTGTTAAAAATCGTTCTTGAGGTTATGTTAGTGGCGGGCCTGCCAGAATTTATTTGGCAATTTTTTTACATTTATCTTATCAATAACTGAATTAGTGATGAATATTAATAAATAACTATGAATATAAAGTAATAATGTTGTGTTTTATATTAGTTCTACATAGTGAAAGTTGTGTTTTTTGTTTCACAAATTAGTGGCGGGCCTGCCAGAATTTATTTGGCAATTTTTTTACATTTATCTTATCAATAACTGAATTAGTGATGAATATTAATAAATAACTATGAATATAAAGTAATAATGTTGTGTTTTATATTAGTTCTACATAGTGAAAGTTGTGTTTTTGTTTCACAAATTAGTGGCGGGCCTGCCAGAATTTATTTGGCAAATTTTTTACATTTATCTTATCAATAACTGAATCAGTGATGAATATTAATAAATAACTATGAATATAAAGTAATAATGTTGTGTTTTATATTAGTTCGACAACGTTTTCAGGCTACTTTTTGCAATTGTTAAAATCGTTCTTGAGGTTATGTTAGTGGCGGGTCTGCCCGGAATTATTTGGCAATTTTTTACATTTATCTTATCAATAACTGAATTAGTGATGAATATTAATAAATAACTATGAATATAAAGTAATAATGTTGTGTTTTATATTAGTTCTACATAGTGAAAGTTGTGTTTTTGTTCACAAATTAGTGGCGGGCCTGCCAGAATTTATTTGGCAATTTTTTACATTTATCTTATCAATAACTGAATCAGTGATGAATATTAATAAATAACTATGAATATAAAGTAATAATGTTGTGTTTTATATAGTTCGACAATAGTGAAAGTTGGTTTTTTGGTTTCACAAATTAGTGGCGGGCCTGCCAGAATTTATTTGGCAAATTTTTTACATTTATCTTATCAATAACTGAATTAGTGATGAATATTAATAAATAACTATGAATATAAATTATAATGTTGTGTTTTATATTAGTTCGACAACGTTTTCAGGCTACTTTTTGCAATTGTTAAAAATCGTTCTTGAGGTTATGTTAGTGGCGGGCCTGCCAGAATTATTTGGCAAATTTTTTACATTTATCTTATCAATAACTGAATTAGTGATGAATATTAATAAATAACTATGAATATAAAGTAATAATGTTGTGTTTTATATTAGTTCTACATAGTGAAAGTTGTGTTTTTTGTTTCACAAATTAGTGGGGGGCCTGCCAGAATTTATTTGGCAATTTTTTTACATTTATCTTATCAATAACTGAATTAGTGATGAATATTAATAAATAACTATGAATATAAAGTAATAATTTGTGTTTTATATTAGTTCTACATAGTGAAAGTTGTGTTTTTTGTTTCACAAATTAGTGGCGGGCCTGCCAGAATTTATTTGGCAAATTTTTTACATTTATCTTATCAATAACTGAATCAGTGATGAATTATAAATAACTATGAATATAATTAATAATGTTGTGTTTTATATTAGTTCGACAACGTTTTCAGGCTACTTTTTGCAATTGTTAAAATCGTTTTCTGAGTTATGTTAGTGGCGGGCCTGCCAGAATTATTTGGCAATTTTTTTACATTTATCTTATCAATAACTGAATTAGTGATGATATTAATAATAACTATGATATAAAGTAATAATGTTGTGTTTTATATTAGTTCTACAACGTTTTCAGTGCTACTTTTTGCAATTGTTAAAATCGTTCTTGAGGTTATGTTAGTGGCGGGTCTGCCAGGTATTATTTGGCAATTTTTTTACATTTATCTTATCAATAACTGAATTAGTGATGAATATTAATAAATAACTATGAATATAAGTAATAATGTTGTGTTTTTATATTAGTTCTACATAGTGAAAGTTGTGTTTTTTGTTTCACAAATTAGTGGCGGGCCTGCCAGAATTTATTTGGCAATTTTTTACATTTATCTTATCAATAACTGAATCAGTGATGAATATTAATAAATAACTATGAATATAAATTAATAATGTTGTGTTTTATATTAGTTCGACAACGTTTTCAGGCTACTTTTTGCAATTGTTAAAAATCGTTCTTGAGGTTATGTTAGTAGCGGGCCTGCCAGAATTTATTTGGCAATTTTTTACATTTATCTTATCAATAACTGAATTAGTGATGAATATTAATAAATAACTATGAATATAAAGTATAATGTTGTGTTTTATATTAGTTCTACATAGTGAAAGTTGTTTTTTGTTTCACAAATTAGTGGCGGGCCTGCCAGAATTTATTTGGCAAATTTTTTACATTTATCTTATCAATAACTGAATCAGTGATGAATATTAATAAATAACTATGAATATAAATTAATAATGTTGTGTTTTATATTAGTTCGACAACGTTTTCAGGCTACTTTTTGCAATTGTTAAAAATCGTTCTTGAGGTTATTTAGTGGCGGGCCTGCCAGAATTTATTTGGCAATTTTTTTACATTTATCTTATCAATAACTGAATTAGTGATGAATATTAATAAATAACTATGAATATAAAGTAATAATGTTGTGTTTGATATTAGTTCTACATAGTGAAAGTTGTTTTTTTTTTTCATAATTAGTGGCGGGCCTGCCAGAATTTATTTGGCAAATTTTTTACATTTATCTTATCAATAACTGAATCAGTGATGAATATAAATAAATAACTATGAATATAAATTAATAATGTTGTGTTTTTATTAGTTCGACAACGTTTTCAGGCTACTTTTTGCAATTGTTAAAAATCGTTCTTGAGGTTATGTTAGTGGCGGGTCTGCCCGAATTATTTGGCAATTTTTTTACATTTATCTTATCAATAACTGAATTAGTGATGAATATTAATAAATAACTATGAATATAAAGTAATAATGTTGTGTTTTATATTAGTTCTACATAGTGAAAGTTGTGTTTTTTGTTTCACAAATTAGTGGCGGGCCTGCCAGAATTTATTTGGCAAATTTTTTACATTTATCTTATCAATAACTGAATCAGTGATGAATATTAATAAATAACTATGAATATAAATTAATAATGTTGTGTTTTATATTAGTTCGACAACGTTTTCAGGCTACTTTTTGCAATTGTTAAAAATCGTTCTTGAGGTTATGTTAGTAGCGGGCCTGCCAGAATTTATTTGGCAATTTTTTTACATTTATCTTATCAATAACTGAATTAGTGATGAATATTAATAAATAACTATGAATATAAAGTAATAATGTTGTGTTTTATATTAGTTCTACATAGTGAAAGTTGTTTTTTGTTTCATAAATTAGTGGCGGGCCTGCCAGAATTTATTTGGCAAATTTTTTACATTTATCTTATCAATAACTGAATCAGTGATGAATATAAATAAATAACTATGAATATAAATTAATAATGTTGTGTTTTATATTAGTTCGACAACGTTTTCAGGCTACTTTTTGCAATTGTTAAAAATCGTTCTTGAGGTTATGTTAGTGGCGGGCTGCCAGAATTTATTTGGCAATTTTTTTACATTTATCTTATCAATAACTGAATTAGTGATGAATATTAATAAATAACTATGAATATAAAGTAATAATGTTGTGTTTGATATTAGTTCTACATAGTGAAAGTTGTTTTTTGTTTCATAAATTAGTGGCGGGCCTGCCAGAATTTATTTGGCAAATTTTTTACATTTATCTTATCAATAACTGAATTAGTGATGAATATTAATAAATAACTATGAATATAAAGTAATAATGTTGTGTTTTATATTAGTTCTACATAGTGAAAGTTTGTTTTTTGTTTCACAAATTAGTGGCGGGCCTGCCAGAATTTATTTGGCAAATTTTTTACATTTATCTTATCAATAACTGAATTAGTGATGAATATTAATAAATAACTATGAATATAAAGTAATAATGTTGTGTTTTACATTAGTTCTACATAGTGAAAGTTGTGTTTTTTGTTTCATAATTAGTGGCGGGTCTGCCAGAATTTATTTGGCAAATTTTTTTACATTTATCTTATCAATAACTGAATTAGTGATGAATATTAGTAAATAACTATGAATATAAAGTCATTTTGAAAATAATATATACAAACCCCTGAAAAAAAATACAAATATTCAATATAGACAAAAATAAAATTTACGCTTGAATATGAAACTTTTTATTTCATATTAACATCCTTACATTACATGTTCAGACATCGGTTGAATGATACAATTAAATATAACAAATGTAAATCATAAAACAAAGTCATATATTGTAACAAAGTCATATATTGTAAAAAATATTTGCCTTTAGTGGATATAAAGTAGTACAAAATATAAAATATAACTTAAAATAAGTATGACTATTTACATCTATCATCCAAAGGCTATGAGTAATGATTTGAGGCAGTGCTCGATTAATCACAAAAATAATGACTGAGCGTTCAAGTGAAGTATGAAGAGAATAAATTTATTATTGTTAAGCAAAATATTATAGGTTTTCATTTGTCAGTCAATATTTTTCTGATTAAATCAATTACTGGTTGAAAACATTGATCATAGCCTTTGGCTGTGAGATGCAAATAATCATACATTATTTCTCTTGTTATGAAACCTCTTTCATCCACAATATTTCTATGTGTGTGCACTATGTGAATATGTCTTCTATTCATATTTATATTGTTAAATTTATTTAATAAACTGTTGACGACTTCCAAGCAATCGCGCTGGGCATTTGGTACTCTTCCTCTGGGAAGCATGGTGGGTAAAATTATGTGAGCACTCGGAAGCAATTCTTCAACGATGCTCACACATTTAATAATTCCTTCATAAATTTCGTGCGGTTTGCTATGTTCCGTGTTGTTTGTTCCTACCAATATGACCACAATTTTGGTTTTCAGATTTGATAATTCGCCGTTTTTTAAACGATAAAGAACATGTTCCACTTTATCGCCTCCGATTCCAAAATTTGCAGTTTGAAATGCTTGAAACATGTCCCAAATGGGATGCCTCTCCAGTTTGCTATAAGGGAGTCTCCAGTGAGGATAACGTTGTGGTCAATCTTCGCCAATTTTAAATTATTTAAATGTTTTTGACGCCACATGTCACTTGCCCTTGAAGTAGGGATGGCGCATTTGTTAACATTTTCAAACTTTCCACTCATAGTGAATAACTGTAATAATAAATGAAGAACTTTATATTTAATACAAACAAACTTGTAAATACTGATAATTCACTCTCTTGTGGAAAGATATCTTTATCAGAATTCTGGCACAAATGTCTAAATTATTAGAGTAACTTACATAAACTCCGGGACGTCTGCACAAAAAACTAATTTATTATAGTAGGGAAACTCGTGGATACGCGTGAACTCTCAAAAATAAAATAAAGATTTGCTTCCGTTCACTTTCCAAAAATTCACTTCCATTCACTTTCACCTTCTAGCAGTGTTGCCAATGAAAGTTGCCATAGAACAAAACTGTAGATATACCTATGCCATAGGCTAGGACCTGGCTGGGACTGTATATATATATATACTCTTCTTGTATCTATATATATATATATATATATATATATGTATATATATATATATATATATATATATAAATATTGTATGATTCTGAATTAGATGTTGACATATGTATTAACAAAGTTTAATAATCGGGCATAACATCAATAAAAAGCATGAATTTCTTTCAAAAATTTATTTTAAATCCATACGTTTCGGATATAATCCTAGCCTTCATTCAGTGTAAAAATTATTTGATCTTAGTGTTAAATTGGAAAAATTTAATAATCCATGGTTTTAGGATATGGTAATGCACTACACTATGTATTATAAACATTAACTTGAAATTACACAATATTATGAATAACACACGATCCATTTGTGATTTTTTCAAATCAGTATTTTGTGAAAATATTGTGTAATTTCAAGTTAATGTTTATAATACATAGTGTAGTACATTACCATATCCTAATACCACGGATTATTAAATTTTTCCAATTTAACACTAAGATCAACTCATGATCAACTAATTTTTCCACTGAATGAATGCTAGGATTACATCCGAAACGTATGGATTTAAAATAAATTTTTGAAAGAAATTCATGTTTTTTATTGATGTTATGCCCGATTATTAGACTTTGTTAATAAATATATAAATATATATATATATATATATATATATATATATAAACATGAACATATGTACACACCATATATTAGTTATTATAGAAGAATAGAATGCTAAACAAAGTCATTTTGAAAATATATATACAACCCCTGAAAAAAAAATACAATATAGACAAAAATATAATTTACGTCTGAATATGAATCTGAATTGAATCCCTGAAAAAAAATACAAATATGCAAGATAGTCAAAAATAAAATTTACGCTTGAATATGAATCTTTTTATTTCATATTAACATCCTTACATTACATGTTCAGACATCGGTTGAATGATAGAATTAAATATAACAAATGTAAATCATAAAACAAAGTCATATATTACTCTAACATCCGTAACAGCAACAACCACGAGAAGGTTTCTGAACTTGTGTTGCCAAAAATATTTTCACTGCTAAACAACGTGCAGTGTGCAGATATTGCTAATGCAATATCTGTTTAAGAAGTGGATTGTTAATTTATATACTGTCTTTGAATAGATGAGATATTAGAATTTCATATCTCATTCTCAATAGAGAATTTTATTTCTCTTTAGTGGATATTTTATAAGACAATATGCATTCTCTGTTTTTAATTTCATTTACAATATTAAAATGAAATAGAGAATAGAGAGACAGAGAAATAGAGAAATTACTTCTGAAAGTAATGGATATTTGTTTGAGAAGATTATAGAACAGAAAACATTATTTTGTCTCTCTTTAATAAGAGAAAAATCTCTTTTGTCTTTCCACTTGCAATCCACTTCTTAGGTTGACAGTATTTTATTTAATTTATAAATTTGTATAAGTGGATTGTTAATTTATATACTGTCTTTGAATAGATGAGATATTAGAATTTCATATCTCATTCTCAATAGAGAATTTTATTTCTCTTTAGTGGATATTTTATAAGACAATATGCATTCTCTGTTTTTAATTTCATTTACAATATTAAAATGAAATAGAGAATAGAGAGACAGAGAAATAGAGAATTTACTTCTGAAAGTAATGGATATTTGTTAGAGAAGATTATAGAACAGAAAACATTATTTTGTCTCTCTTTAATAAGAGAAAAATCTCTTTCGTCTTACCACTTGCAATCCACTTCTTAGGTTGACAGTATTTTATTTAATTTGTAATTTTGTATAAGTTTTGTGCATTTTGTGCAGTACACAAAGTATACAAAAATATTTAAAGTCAGGACTTCCTACAGCTCGTGGCGATAAAGATTTTGAAGCTAGACTTTTATCGCAATCATAATGTAGCCAGCGACTACACATCCCACAGCTTATCCAGGAATCACTAGAAGACTTAAATTTTGTATTACAATTATTTTTGCATGTTATTAGTGATAAATCAGAATTTCGTTCATGTTTATACCATGAATCGCATTTGGTACATGCATAATATGAAGGATGATCTGTTAGCGAATCGCTAGAAGAGGTGCAAATTGGACAAATGTTTTGTACCGGTGAGATACTTTTTAAAAAGTTTGTCATTAATTCTTCTCTATATGTACTAGGTTCCATTTTATAATTTAAATCAATGTTCTGTAATAGACAGGATGCATTTTTAATTGTGAAAAGCCCACAACTATGAGTATCATTCTGTTGAGGGGAAGTTATTTTATGAAAATTCCATTGCAATTTTTCTGTGTTTGTTAAACAGTTATTGCAAAATTGATCAAAAATTTCGGAATCGGTCAAATCATCAGTACAAGAATTAATGACACTGAAATGTTTTTTTTCTGTATCTATTAAGATTAAGAGCCAATGGGAATGAATATTATGTGGCGCTATATACTTTATACCTGATGATAAATCTAGAACAAAGTTATCATTTTTAATATTCATAATATGGTTATATTCATGAACAGTAAAAATTTTGAAGTTTTTGTTATTATTACCAATTGATGCTAAATGAGAGTCGATGATTATATCATCTAACCACTCATTATTATACAAACTGAAGAAATTCATCAATTTAATTGCATATTTACCCAAAAATCCTATAAGATATGATTGGCAGCTATCCCTATCATATAAGTAGGGTTTTAGGTAGAAATTGAAATCTTTAGCTACACAGTTATGATACAAATCTATTACTAATTCTGCACCAGAGTCGGAAGAGTTATTAGTGTTCAAGCATTTATTTAAAGAAAAAGTGTTTTTCTTGCATAAATAAAAATTTACTGAACTTTTAGATTTTTATTAGCCCGCCACTAATTTATGAAACAAAAAACAACTTTCACTATGTAGAACTAATATCAAACACAACATTATTACTTTATATTCATAGTTATTTATTAATATTCATCACTAATTCAGTTATTGATAAGATAAATGTAAAAAAATTGCCAAATAAATTCTGGCAGGCCCGCTACTAACATAACCTCAAGAACGATTTTTAACAATTGCAAAAAGTAGCCTGAAAACGTTGTCGAACTCATATAAAACACAACTATTAATTTATATTCATAGTTATTTATTTATATTCATCACTGATTCAGTTATTGATAAGATAAATGTAAAAATTTGCCAATTAAATTCTGGCAGGCCCGCCACTAATTTATGAAACAAAAACAACTTTCACTATGTAGAACTAATATCAAACACAACATTATTACTTTATATTCATAGTTATTTATTAATATTCATCACTAATTCAGTTATTGATAAGATAAATGTAAAAAAATTGCCAAATAAATTCTGGCAGGCCCGCTACTAACATAACCTCAAGAACGATTTTTAACAATTGCAAAAAGTAGCCTGAAAACGTTGTCGAACTAATATAAAACACAACATTATTAATTTATATTCATAGTTATTTATTAATATTCATCACTGATTCAGTTATTGATAAGATAAATGTAAAAAATTTGCCAAATAAATTCTGGCAGGCCCGCCACTAATTTGTGAAACAAAAAACACAACTTTCACTATGTAGAACTAATATAAAACACAACATTATTACTTTATATTCATAGTTATTTATTAATATTCATCACTGATTCAGTTATTGATAAGATAAATGTAAAAAATTTGCCAAATAAATTCTGGCAGACCCGCCACTAACATAACCTCAAGAACGATTGTTGACAATTGCAAAAAGTAGCCTGAAAACGTTGTCGAACTAATATAAAACACAACATTATTACTTTATATTCATAGTTATTTATTAATATTCATCACTAATTCAGTTATTGATAAGATAAATGTAAAAAATTTGCCAAATAAATTCTGGCAGGCCCGCCACTAATTTGTGAAACAAAAAACACAACTTTCACTATGTAGAACTAATATAAAACACAACATTATTACTTTATATTCATAGTTATTTATTAATATTCATCACTAATTCAGTTATTGATAAGATAAATGTAAAAAAATTGCCAAATAAATTCTGGCAGGCCCGCTACTAACATAACCTCAAGAACGATTTTTAACAATTGCAAAAAGTAGCCTGAAAACGTTGTCGAACTCATATAAAACACAACATTATTAATTTATATTCATAGTTATTTATTATATTCATCACTGATTCAGTTATTGATAAGATAAATGTAAAAAATTTGCCAAATAATTCTGGCAGGCCCGCCACTAATTTATGAAACAAAAACAAACTTTCACTATGTAGAACTAATATCAAACACAACATTATTACTTTATATTCATAGTTATTTATTAATATTCATCACTAATTCAGTTATTGATAAGATAAATGTAAAAAAATTGCCAAATAAATTCTGGCAGGCCCGCTACTAACATAACCTCAAGAACGATTTTTAACAATTGCAAAAAGTAGCCTGAAAACGTTGTCGAACTCATATAAAACACAACATTATTAATTTATATTCATAGTTATTTATTTATATTCATCACTAATTCAGTTATTGATAAGATAAATGTAAAAAATTTGCCAAATAAATTCTGGCAGGCCCGCCACTAATTTGTGAAACAAAAAACACAACTTTCACTATGTAGAACTAATATAAAACACAACATTATTACTTTATATTCATAGTTATTTATTAATATTCATCACTAATTCACTTATTAATAAGATAAATGTAAAAAATTTGCCAAATAAACACTGGCAGGCTCTCGACACTATTTCAACATATCTTCGAACATATTTTGACACGGCAGATCGTGTCGGTTGGTATCAATGTACTATGACATATGTAAAAATACTTGATTGTAGGTTAAAGATTTTTATCTCAAACAAAGATAATGCAAAATAAATGAAATTTAATTGAATAAATTATTATATTTTAATCATTTTCATAAAGAAAATTAGAATTTAAATGTTGGCCACGCCTTCGCCGATAGGCCACGCCCACGAAACTGAACCTGCCAGATGTGAGAACCTGCCAACTATATACACGTACAAACACATAACCTTTAATTGATAAACAAAGAATTTCTGTTTCATGAAGGGGAACAATAAAAATGGAAAGTATACCTATCGTAATTCAATATTATAATATAAAAAGTAATATCATTAATTAGATATTAATAATCTATTCGTGCTTTTACGATGGCTGTTAACAATGAATTTGATATCAATAAAGTTTGCAGAGTGTGCCTTCAGGAAGGCATTTTAACGTCTGTTTTCAATAAAAATTTTGCCATACGCCACTCAGATATGATGATGTACTGCACAACTGTAAAGATATTAGAAAATGATGGCCTACCATCAGTTCTTTGCAATAACTGTGTTTATCGACTAGGTGTAGCTTACCAGTTCAAACAGCAATGTGAAAACTCAGATATGAGATTGCGTCAATATTTAGGTTTAGATTGTATAATTACTCACAAAAATAATGTTAAAGAAGAATCATGTTTACAAGGTAGCATCAGTGATAATGCAACTCAGGTAAAAGATGAAGAAATATATGCGGCTATGAATGTTGTTTGTGAAATGTTGAATAAAACTCAAGACAATGTTGTTAACGATGTTGTGACAGATTTAACTAATTGCGGAACAACTGCTGATTCAGCATTTAAAGTAAGTCAATTAACTACACTTGAGGCTATTCCTTTACTAAATCATAGCCATAGTCATAATCATCAAGAGAAAGACACTCAATCAATTCTAAATGAAGCTACAAACTTAAGTCAGTGTATGTCAAGTAAAAATAGTTTAATTAAGGATAAGTGCAATGAGATGTATGAAGATGTAAAAAATCCATTAAAGAAAAAATGTAAAAACGATAAAGCTAAAAGTTTGAATTGTAGAAAAAAATCTATTAGACCAAAAGAGATGAAATTGTTGAAGCAACCTGAACAATGTTTTGAGTGTGGTAAAACTTTCAACTACAGTGGTTATCTTGAAGCTCATCTACGTACGCACTCTGGTGAAAAACCTTACGAATGTAATGTTTGCAAACGGAAATTTGCACAAACTGGAAATCTCGCACTGCATATGAGAACTCATACTGGTGAACGGCCTTTTCAATGTGAGATATGTAGCAAAATGTTTTCGACATCTAGTAATTTGCATGCACATCAAAAAATTCACTCAGGGATCAGAAATTATGTTTGTACTCTTTGTCGACGTGCATTCAAATCATCTACAGAATTGGCAAGTCATGCTGGTACTCACACAGGAATTAAAAATCATATCTGCAAAATTTGTGGTAAAGCTTTTTATAAAACATCTTACCTTAATGTACATATGCGTACTGTACACATAGGTGAAAAAAGACATAAATGTAGTGAATGTGGAAAAGAATTTTCTAATAGTTCAAACTTAACATGCCATTTTCGTATCCATACGGGTGAAAAACCTTTTTGTTGCACATTTTGTGATGCGAGGTTTAATCAGTCTTCAGCACTTCAAAGGCATTTGAAACAGCACAATGGTAGCAAACCTCAAAACAAATACTCAACTAGAGTAAATCCTCCTAGTGAAAACATAACATACTCTCAAATACCTATGCAATCTTCAAATATTTTATTAATGCATGAACAAGATTTAGTACCAATGGATTTGCAGCTAGTTACAAACGACAACACAAATATTATGCCCACAGATTACACAAAACATAACGATTATTCAAAAACTAACTTAATGGATGAAATTGCAGATTATTCAAAAACCAATTTACAACTAGATTTTACTAAACAAAGTGATTGTAGTAAAATTAACTCAGATTTTCTAAAGCATAACGATTATATGAAAACTCATATTGATTATGATAAAACGCACATTTTGCTTGATTATACTAAAGATCATAATGTTATAGATTATCACAAATCTAGTACAAACTTTATGTATAATCCTTAGCACAGTATAAAAAGTTCAATGCAAATGTTTAATGCAAATCACCATTGCATATTTATTTAATTGACAAGCTAAAACACATGCAGGCGAGTTATTACATTTTTCTTTAACTCACGATCAGATAACTTTACCAAACATTTTTTGTTTATTAGGATAATTTTTTAAATACTAAACATATACCAACAATTTATTATTATTAATTACAGTATATTATCTATTGTGGATTTAATTTGAACTTAGTAAATTATTATATAAATTTATATGCAAAGTGTGTTATGCATATTGTACGAATTGATTTTATATCTTACTAACAGCAAATGTTAGTAAAATATTATGTTATGATTTTGGTTACATAGCCATATGCAATGCTATTCACAATTTATTTTCATTTTCATTTTAATAATATAAAAATTCACTCATTTTGATGTATATATTTCTTTTGTTGTCAATATATTCAAGAAAATAATACTCAAAATCGCTCAACTTACAAATTTATGCTTAAGTAATGTATTTTGAAAAAATATTTTGAATTTTATATTTCAATGTTAAATTGTAAACTCAAATGTATGTAATGTATTTTATTAGAATAAACACGGTTGTTTTTAATAAGTTTTCAGATATTTCTTATATTATTACTATTTTCTTACGAGTAGTACTATTGTCACTACTCAATTTTTGAATTCTTTGAAATGTTGATGTAATCCTAAAGCAAATTATTTGTTAATGCTAAATTTTAAAGCATGTGTGTTTTCAAATATTCAAGATTGTTGGAATGATTATTATTTGTTTGAGTTATTGTTATTTTGTTTTTGTAATATAATTTATTTTTACACAGTGAAACTTAAATTGTTTATTGTTTTTGCTGGACACTGTTCATATAGATTTGTAATAGTTTTTCCAATTTTCATAAATAATTCAAGCGCACCTATTAATTTATTATTGTTGCTTGCACAACAAACAAAAGAAAATTTTAAATTAATTAAATAATTTGAACTTCGCGTTTAATGTGATGTTTTTTTTTACAATGTTGGCGCACTTGCTTCTTCAATGAACTGGTGTTTTAGAAGAATTGACGTTTGTGACAGGCGTGATATATGCATCGAAAAATCTGAATATGTTATCATAATAACAAATATTTTGAATGAAACTACTACAGTAAATAAGTGCAGTTGTTACAGTTATTGATCTCATATTTTATTAATTTAATTTATATATTAAAACCATAAGAATTCAAATATATGCTAAGTTAAGGTTAAAAGATTTCCTTAAAATAATATTTTTAGTGTGATTTAAATAAAATCTATTTTTAAGTGAAGTGTATTTATGTGTATAAAATGTAATTCTAAAAATATTATTGGCATCAACATCGGGATAGATAAAATATAAAATGAGTTATGAAGTACTAAGTTGGGATAAGATAGGATTTGGTAATTTTGGTAATTCTTCCAATAACAGGCTGGAAGATGCACAATCGAAAAATAAAGTGGAAACAAAGCTTATGTCTATGTGGAATAATATGAAATATGGTAAGTGGTCATAATATTTTTTTTCACATATATTTATTATTATGCACAATATTTATTATTCATACATTCCCAAATATATCTAATAGATTAATATATTAATATTTTTTTAATAAACTGTTGAAATTTTGTCGACGCATTTCATTATGTATTTAAATTTGATATGTTTCGTTTTTCAATCATGTAATATTATACGCTTGATAACGTATTTTTATTACTTGTTGACGTATATTATATATAAAAAATATTATACCATTGTAATCGTAATTGTATGCCTAATCAATATAAGTTTAATGCCCATAGGTGTGTGTGGAATTTTTTCTTTAGATTAATTTTACAAGTTATAAAAATATTAGTTATAAACTAGCCAAAAACGTTCTCTTCATCTGTTAATTCCGAACAATTTACCAAAAAATGTTTAAAATTTAACTAGCTAATAGTTCAAATTATAAAAAATAACACGTTGGCATGAAAAAAGACTCCTACTGACAAAACTCATCAATGTAGTTTTTCACACTATAGTCAATATATTGATTAAATTAGTTTCTAACTGATCATTTCTAAGTAATTCGAACATTGTAATATTGTTTTTTTTTTAACTTAACCTTTTGAAGATTATGAATTAAATATTTTACTTAAGTATAAAATTGTTCTTTAAATTATTCACCGAATTCATGATATTGATATCAAAGCGCTTTTTAAGATTTTCCAAGTTTTGGTGTTGACATATATTTTTGAAAAAGTCTAAAGGAAATAAATTTAAAAATCTTAGACCATTGGAATTTTTCTATTTGTTTAGTGAGCTTTAGATATTGCGATACACAACTGATTACTACAATTACGATACATAACTATATTACTACAGTTTTGTATATGTAAAACCACTTGATTATAAATACTTGAACTTCATAGAAATATCTTTAATGGAGTGTTTTTAATTTTCCATCATTTAAGTATTTGATAAACTTAACGCCCAAACGTATATTCCACTTATTTGTATATAAAAATATTTAAGTTAAGTATATCTGATGAAATCCATCAATAACATAGTTCTTAGCACACATTTTGTTTGCTGATTTAGGGGTTAAAACCTTCATGCAAATTCCATTTCTATTCTCAGAATGTAATTAGATTAAATTATGCGAAAAATTAATAATTTATTAGATTATATTTTGGGAAAGGTATTATATTTTTACAGTATTTTAAAGTAAAGCTGTAAATGGATTAAATAATGGGAAAATATATTATATTTTTACAGTATATTATTAAAAATATTGACCCGGCAAACGTTGTTTTGCTAAGTAAGGTAGATTCTAAACCTTACCTATCTAGACCTTTTTACCCTATAGGCGGGGTAACTTGAAACGGGCAGGTGGCAAAAGGGTTTAAAGCCTTATTATAATTTTAAACGTATTTTACAGAATAATTATATTTTTAACTAATGCTAAAAAACTACCAACGGAAGAAAATACTTTTATTATGAATTTTCAAAGATTACCGTTTATCTCCCCCATTTCAAAGATTACCGTTTTCAAATCAAGATTATAGCTGGTTATACATCTTCTTTCCTATACTTTCAAATATTGTTGTTAAACAATGCTTAACTTTACTGGTTTTTGACACATCGATCGTGGACTTTTTTAACCCCGGACTTTCATATATTTCTATCTATTCTTCGATAAGTTCTGGGAAATTATAACAGGGAAAATATTATTCGACAAAATGTCTCTTTGATCGATACCAAATTTTGGTTCTGAATTTAAATAATATGAATAAAAAATAAAATAACCTAGAAAATGTTTTATAAATACCAATGAGTATATAATTATACAAATGAGATCTTTCAGAGCACCGTGTTTGAGAAAAATATGCCAAAAAGTGCATTTTCATATGAACATTTCAAAAAAGTTGATATTTTGAGTCTCTAGTAACACTTGCGGCCCGTTTACTAACGTTTTTGTATATAAATAAAACTACAAACAAAACTACTTACTACAATTTGATCATAATTAAATAATATTCACGTAAAACATCCTATTAAACGTAATTGAATATCATTTGTCAAAAACATTTGACATTTGAGGTATTAGCCACCGTCCATTGTTTTATTTAAATTACGCTTCTACAAAAAATTTCAAATAAAAAATGTAAAGTTTCTACGCGATTTTGAAATAATATCTCACCTTTCCGACCTTTTCTGAATTGGCATGAATTTTTCAAGACTAAGACTGGCCAAATCGGTTTAGCCGTTTTCGAGTTTTACCGAATCATTTGATCGAGAGCTCCATTTTTATATATAAGAAGATAAGATTATTAAAAAAGAAATTTTATGGGGGCTTTATTACGCAAATCATTGTGGTTTTATTTGAAAGCTTTAGAACATAATTTAAAGTAATTTAATTTGTCATATTTTAATCCAAATTAACAGACATTAGCCTGATATTGTACTACTATGTACTAGTAAATTAAAAAACTGGGTGTCAAATAATCCATGGTCTCCAATAATAGTCCAGTCATTATAGTAAGTTCACCTGGGAATTCGAGATACCCAGCTGTAAGCCTGTAAATTCTTGTATTTTGCACCCTAAAAGTTGTCTCAAAACCTACATAGTGTACGCAACATATGTAGGTTTTGAGACAATTTTTAGGATGCAAAATTCAAGTATTTAATTCACTTACAGCTAGGTATCTCGAATTCCGAGATTCTAACCTAATTTAAACTTACTGGACTATAATCTTATATAAGTTAAGTACATGTAAATTGAATTATTCAAAATTATGATATAGTGGCTATACAAAAATATATGGCTCTTACTCATGTACCATAAGAGATGTGATCAAATATGGTCACCCGTTAGTTTTAATGTCTGGTATTTTTATTTCCCTTTTATTTACAGGCTGGACAGTTAAAATTCGTACAAATTTCTCAAAAGAGCTCCCAGTTTGGCTTTTGGGCAGATGCTACCACAAAAAATCTCCATCGCCGGAGTCTTCGGTGGAAGTTTTGGGTAGCTCAATTAGTTCCATGGAACTGGCTACTGATGCAACCGGCATGGATAATGTTTGGGAAGGAGATAGTGAGTATTATTTATTTTATTAATAAAATATATTTTTTTGTTCTGTCTTTATATGAACTGGCGTATTTAGATTGCAACCCAACGGTTAACCTAACCGCGTTTGATAGATTTTTATTAGAAGAATTTAACTAGTAGTGATCAAATACTATTCAATTACTAGTATTCGAGAAGGACTATTTTTACTTGGAAATATATTTTGAATTAGATATTAAGCAACTGAAATGAATTATAATATGAAGCATATTTAATTATTTTAGAAAACTACAATTAAATAAAATATTTCTCTGACTTAAACGCTTAGGGACTTTTAACTTTTTGAAATATGTGAACTCTGAAATTTAATGCTGGAATTTTGTTATTTACATGGGCTGACGAGTGTTCCAAGCTATATTTGTAAGTTTTATGCAGATCTAAGTCTTAAATCACTCAAAAAGTCAATCGTTTTATTAAGCATACACATTTATATTCTGTATGATGTGGTATGCCAAAATATCTTCAAATAAATATACAAATTTTATTTTTGATTTTGCCAATTCTATTTGAAGTTACAAAAACTATATTTCGTTAGGTACATAATATTTTCTTACTTTTAAGTCGTAAATAAATTAATGACAAATTTAAAATTGGTGGAAATCAACATTAAATATTCTCATCATATACAATTTATTTTATATATAAAGGTATTGAAATAGAAAAACACTTGTATAAAATATATTATTAACTTCCCGAAGGAGAATTTTGTTTCCATAAAAAAATCCGATTCGCCGATTTATGTTTTCTCGACGTTTCAAGCCATTCTGAATCGAATGATACCAAATTTGGAAAAAGTATGTGTGTGTGTGTGCGTGTATGTGAACAGAGTTTTTGTCGTAACTCGACGTTTTCTCAAAAACGCCTGAACCGATTTTAGAAATTTAAATGTCATTTGATGTATCTCGATGGGGATTATCGTTTCTCAGTTTTATGCGACGATCGGTCGAGCCGTTTCTTTGAAATTTAGAAAAAGGAAAGGAAAAAAGTATTAAACTTTTCGTTCACATTTAAGCTCATACTACCGAATCAATTTTAAAAAATCAAAAACTGTTCGAAAGATATTAGTTGGGAATGGTACTGATTAGTTTTAGGTAAAGATCTATCGAGCCGTTTTCTGGCAATTAACTGTTGAAAAAAAAAATTAAGCCGATTTTTATGGAACTTTTTTGGCGATATATACCATGGTCTTATAGAACTTACTGAAATATTACGGCCTTACTCATAAATGAATTATTTGCACATATCGGGAAGTTCATGTAACTTGCCTCAAGGCAAAATACCAATACCATTCAGTTAAAATAACAAATGATATAAGTGCTGGCTTGTTATCAATAATATATTTTTAAATAATCCGTAAAGTATACACAATTTAAAGAATTTCGTGTTTTTAACAGCAATTAGAATTTACAAATAAACTGTAATACGTGAGAATTTACTTGTTCTACTAAATTTTAATAATGTTATTTTTTCTATGATTACATACTAGGTTATGATGTGTGTAATTTAATAAATTTGAAGTGTTTTCAGAATATTTGTGAAATATGAGTCAAAATACATAACTTTCAGTGAACATTAATCATCTGTTCATAATTGATAAAAAAAATTACATCAGAGTATGACGTATTTCCTTGCAATATAATTTTAATATTTTATGTGCTCATAAAATTTACTCTTATCGTTTTTTATGAAAGATGTTGTAAACAATGTTTTTGCTATATATTATAATTTGAGGCAACATTAAATTTGTCGATGGTTTTTGATTGCAAATTAATGGCTTTATTTTTTGCCAATTTGTTTTTATCTTGTTTGTATAATTTATATACTAGATTTATCCAAAGTTTGATAAAAGAATGTATTTTGATAACTTCACAGCTGGTGTAGTATGTTTTTCTTTGCATTTATTGTGATTGTGAATTATAAAGGATAAATGGATCAAAAATCAATGACACTATATTTGGAATTTATTAATCACTTCATATCGCACAAAATATGTTCTAGAAATATTTATGATTCATGAAGATGAAATAATATTATGATGATTCTGCAACGGTTTGTTGTGATAATATAATTATAGATCTACTAATATAAATATTATAGAGAAATTTTGTTTCCAATAACTTGAGAGTTTAGACATCTAGAAATTATTTATACAATTTGCAAAAAAGGTTGAAAAAATGAGCAGGACTCTTGTTGTGTGAGCTAAAATTTGTTCTTTTGTCGACTTAAAATCTTTTTAACTAGACTTAAAATCTAGTTAAGGCAAAATACCACTTACACCTGATTATCTTGGTTCTTCTGTTGCAAATATTATGAAACATGAAGCAAAATATCAGGTGATAATAAAAAATATTTGGAAATTGTACTTTTGTTCAATTACTTGTTTTGTTAGCAAATCTCTTGAGATGAAATATAATCTGGAATTTTATAATCCTTTTTTTTCCTCCAATAAAAGAGTTGAGTTCTCTCTATGGAGCGAAATCCAAGCTATTTATTCTTATAATTATTCTAACTTATATTTTTTCTCGGTATAACTAAAGCTTAGAAGAATTATTGCATCTTCATTGCTATTCATTTATTGTTTAAAAAAAGTTTTTTTTTTAGAGAAGTTGGTTACCTTTGAACATTGTGTATTTGAAAGTTTAATTAGCGTCATAAGAGTCGATCGAACAAAATAAATATTATATGCGTAATTTTGTTAATAATGCGTTATGTATACAAAACTTTTGTGACTAAGAGTGAGTGCGATGTTTGCAGATATTTTAATAAGAAATTATTCTAAATTTACTTTATTCTTAATTTTTATAAATTAAAAAATAAATATTATAAAACATGCGTGTACGAGAGAGTACATAAATAAAGTTTACCTTTTTGTGGAGATTCTCAAAAACTGGCCTATGAGTGTGATCATAAAAGTTCGTAAATCAAGGATATAATATATTAGTTCTTTACACGTTTTAATAAAAGATTTCAAAGATCCTAATAAATAATAATAATATAAATTATTATTTATATTCTTTAAAGTTTCATTTTTGTTAGGTGGATTTTTTATAGATATATATTTTTAAAGATATATTTTCATTAAGACTTACCTTCAAAGTTTGAATATCCTCTGGCATACTTTTATAATACAGATTTTTTTTCATAAACACACTCTTGTATTTATTTATTAATTTTAACTTGAGTGCACTATACATTCAATTTAGCTAGAAAAATATTTCAATTATAACAGATTTCCTTAAGTAAAACATTTATTACTTACTTCGAAAAAAACTGAACTATGCAATAAATATAGTGTTAAAATTTAATTTCTCTAGAGTAAAAAAATTGTTTAAAATTAGTTACGACCGCATGGCAAGATTTGACAAATAATTTTAATTCGATTGTACGTTTGACTAGTTACATATCGTTGATCGATTTTTTAAAAAGTTTATTGATTATATATTGTAAGTGGATATCAGATTGAATTGTGTTTCATTATAAAAGGTAACAAATGTAACATTATATGGCTTTTTTATATTGCAAATGTTTTTGTTTTATGTTTCTGAACAATCAAAATAAAAATAATTTATGGCAAAGATATAAAATTAAGTGTAATTATAGGTAAATTATAATAAGAAGTTGATAGCTTAAAACCTTACAACGTAATTAAAATTTAGCAATATATTGTAAAAAAGCATAAGGCAAGCTTATTTATTTAATTTAAATATTGTATTAAACTCTTACTCTATCATAAATGCTTTTTTCTTGTGGAAGGAAATTTGTCAAAGTCCAAGTAAATATTTATATTTATATTAATATTTAAATTTTGGATAAAGGATTAAATTTAGTAATTACAGAAAATAAATTATCTTAATTGAATTAATTACAGTAAAATACAACTCTAAAACAATATTAAGTCTAACATTAGTATTAGATATACAATAACTTAAAGAAAAAATGTTATAATATTGGGATAGTTTATTTAAGGCTTGTAGATTTTGAGATTCTTCTGATGGTTAAAAAAATCCTTTAAATATTCGTTACGCGATTTTTAGTTAAGGATAGTATTATCATTATTTTCAAATTATTATAATCAATTACAAATAATTGGTTGATTTATCAATTGCTTTTAAGTATTTATTATTCTATTGTTCTACACACATTTCTAATTCGTTCAAATGTATGTGTACCCTTTATGTTTTTCTTTAATATTTATATGGCTTTATTATATCTCAAATAACAATAAAATGTTATTTCAGAACAAGCAAATTAAATTAATTTTATGGCAAAGGCATGAAATTAAATTCAATTATTTACTATCCTTCTTGTTAAAATTAGCTTTTAAAAGAAGTACTAATATTTTCATATACTATAACAATAACATTTTCAATCATATTTCAATATGCATGCTCAGCAAGGAAAATATTATATGCAAATTAATAATATAATTGCATTGCTTTTTACAACACTACAAAAATGTGAAATATAATTAACCCTTTGCACTCGCCAATTGCGAGAATAATATTCTCGTCATCCGAGTGGAAAGGGTTAAATTCTAAAACAAATTACTAGCATTGTCACTGTTTAAAACCCTGTTTGATTATAATAAGATTTAACAAGAATGTAAGATTTTTGCAATGTTTGGAAAAGATTTTAGTTGTAATGGACCCAGAATCAAGTAAAAATTCGGTCAGAATCTGGTAAAGGAGAGTTTTCGTTAGAATCTGGTGAGGAAGAGTCTGATTAGAATCTATTCGGGATCGAGGCGGATTCGCGTCGGAATCAAATTAGAATCTGGTTATCATTCGATTACAATTTGGTTTGCCTAAACAAACTTTTTTCAGAACGTTAACAAGGAGTGTAAGATTGTAAACCATAATTATTTTTTACATCGCAAACTTTTATAATTTGTGTTAAACGCCAAATTATTAATAACTATCTATTTTGTTGCAGGTGGT